TCCATTATTTGTATCCAAGCCTCTTCTTCTACTCTAGGAAGGGCGCATTTCTTTCCAAGGAGAGCCGGGTGTGTATTGTAGCGACGCAGCCGGTGGTTATGACGCAACGATGGGGAAGAAACCAAGTAAAACTTGCTCTTCCAGCTGCTCCATTTTGACGGCTTGTCAAGCGTCATTATGTATTTCGAATGCGTGGTCAATGTATACCACGCATTCCAGCCGCCTGGGGCACGGCTAAGTAGTGCATATGTGCAAACGCCTCCCAGCTGGGCGTTATGTCCTGCATCTCGCAGACGGCAATATATCCTAGTATATTCACCCAAGAGTTGGGTGTTAACTGCCAAACGCCAAGGTCATAACCCCTTAGAATGGCTTTTATTGTATCATGGAAGGGGAACCTGAGGCCGGCTTTAAATGCCGCGTCATAGCAGCCGAAATAATCATCGGCATGGTCAAGGTTGTCATCCTAGACGATGATTGCCACTACAGGCGGCACAACAATCTCCCATCCTACCCCAACCGGGCGCTTTTGTAAAAATCAGGGTAAGGTGGCATTTAGAGTGATCACATCCCTGGCATTCATGTGCGAGTCTGATTGCTGGACGGTCTCTTCACCGCCTATATCCTCGGAATCGTCCAAGATATCATCTCCGGGCATGCTAGGTACACCCGGATGGTCATAATGTACAATTTCAGCCGGAGCTTCGGTTGAGCCGTCTGACTGGTATTCATGGTCTACAACCGTCCGTCTCGTCCGAGCCATTCTGTCCTGCACATGAACAGAGACTGTCGGATTCGCAGAAAAGTAAGGATGGTCCAAACACCCCCAGACGGCATCCCCAGTCCTAGACTCAGCCGTATCCGGTGGCCTGCTGACAATTGTCCTAGGCCGTGCCGTGTGTGTGTTGGGTGAGTCCATTATTCTTTACAAGTTATACAACCGGAAAAACTCAAAAAAGTTACAAGGGGTAGAGACAGTACCTTGAAAATGCTTTGAGTAAGGGGAAAGTAGGCTATTCGAATCAGCAGCTAGAATTCTTTTTGTTGCTTGCTAGATACCGAAACGGTAGCCCGGATGTATCCTCTTGAAGCGCAACTGAAAATTGGAGAAGAAACCCAGACGGTTGCCCGGATGTACCCTCTTCAAGAGCAACTGAAAATTATTGAGAAACCTAACCGTTTCTCTGAAATCTTGCTTGATAATACCCTAGACGGTAGACCGGATGATGGTATATTGAGATCAAAGGAAAGGAATTGAGTATGATCAGTTGGTACCTATGAGTTTTGAGTAATGGGTACCCCATACGGTAGCCGTATGAGTGAAGAAGAGACAGACAGTTTTGAATAAAATAGCAGCCGGTATCAGAGCGCGCTCTCTCAGAAAATTCTCTCAACAAAAATTTGCACAGTGTGAAAATGAGAGGAGGGGGGTCTCTACTTATAGAGAACCCCAGAAGGTGAATCGTCACCTTCCCAATTCGAATTCAAAATTTGAATTCAAAAAAAAAAAAGGAGGGAGACGAAGCGTCACCTTCTCAGAGCATGACACCTGTCACAGGTGCCACGTGGCAAGCCACGTCACACCTATGAGGGGCAAATGTTTAGGGTAAAAATACCCTGTCCACGTGGCCCAATCACGTGCTGACACGTGTCAGCATCAGAGGGGTTCTGAGAGAACAATCCTCTAGTGACACGTGGCACTCTAGCCTATGAAAGGGGAACTGATCTCCTCTCACTATAAATAGAGGAAAATCCTCATTTATTATTCATTCATAAATACACACGAAAAACCCGAGCAATATTAATTGCAGAATTCTCTCGGAATCCAAAAGAAAAAACCTTTACATTCTGCACTTTAATGCATCCAGAAACGTTCTAACTTGATCGTCGGAGGCGGAACTCCACCCAACCGGAGTTTTCGTGGTTTTGCAGGTACAGACGGTCGACGCACATTCTTGGAATTGAAACTCTCCCGAGGGACTCCAAAAACCCCAAAATAGCTATAATTTGTCTAAATTTAGTGTTTAGGAATGATGTATTCTTTATAATTGAATTTGTATTGGAGTAATTTATAGTTAATTGTAGCAATATAATTTAGGGTTTGTTTTTTAAATTGAAATTAGGGCTTTTTTGTTAGGTATGAGATTCATGAAATTGATGTTGTAGGTTGGTAACTAATGTATTTGGTATTGTATTTGTTCATTAACTTGGTCAATTTGCAGGGAATTAGGTCTTCACCGTCTAAAAACAAGAATTGTGACTATGGCATTCCCATGGCAAAGCTGACCTCATGGAGAAGAGAAAACCCTAGAAGAAAGTTCAAAGCATGCAAGTTTTATGATCCAAAAACAGAAACAAAGGGTTGCAAGTTCTTTGAGTGGGTGGATGAAGATGATGGGACTGATTGTCAATCAATTGATATTGGACAAAAAACTGATGAAGGGCGAAAACAACTCACTGCAAAGAGAAGTAGAAGACCTTAGTGGCCAAAGAAGGTGCTTGTTGACTGAGAATGACAATCTTAAACTGAAGTGCAAAGCTCTGAATGGTGACAGGAAGAAATACTCTAGGGAAGGGCAACAGAATAGTGTTGGTTTTGGGTCTGTTGTTGGGGGTGTGGTCATATGTTATGTTTTTATGATGGTAGAAATGTTAGTTGTGCTTAAAAAAGTGTAGGTTAGTAGCTGTAAGTCTTATGTAAGTTTGCTAAATGAAGTTGGCAATTTCAACTTGTAAGACCTTCAATTATGAATGAAAATGCAGGCCTTTTGAGATAACAAACATAATTTGATACCATTACAATGTTAAATGCATTAGTTACAAAATCTATCTGAAATCAAGTACTAAGAGTTTACAAACAACTGTTCATAAGCTTGAAAGGGTACATAATTCACTTAAACTACTTTCTTTTTACCCTTTGCTAGCTTCTTTAGGGGAATTGATGTTGTTGTAGATGCTTGAGACTATTGGGTGCAGGCAGTAGGTTGGTGTAAGGAATGGTGTCCTTCAGCCAAGTGTATTCTTCCAATAAAGGGTTCAGAATTATTACAGAGCTAATTCTTCAGTAAGGTCAAGTGATCGGAATGTCTAGGTGGAGGCCGCTTCCGATCAGTAATATCAGGGTACAATTGATATTACAGCTTAATCTTAACTGAACCCTTCGGGTCGAACCCAATCGAATCACCGATCCGAGACGACGAATTAATCCAAAAGGATTTAATGAGTCGACAGAGTTTTACGAATACAGACGTCGGAAATCGAGCCTAGGGCGTCGAGACCGAACATCGCAAAATCACAATCGACAAGTATGAGCGTAGCCGTAGCTAGGCTAGGCTAGCTCATAGCAAGCCTAGGCGCACCATGGTGTGCTAGGCACCATCGCAGCCTAGGCGCACCCTAGCAGCCCATCGCAAGCTAGCAACATGTTAGCATGGGTGCTTGGGTGCGCATGGCAAGCCATCGCAAATACCACGAGCCCCAAGCAACCCATCGCAGCTAGCAGCGCGCTAGCCTGGTGCCTGGGTGCATATGGTGGTCTATCGCAGCACGCAGCCCTTGCTAGGCATCATCGCAAGGCATGGCACCACGCACAAGCACCATCGCAAAGCCAGGGGCATGCGTGTGTATGCGTGTGTGCCTCGCAGCCTCGCACAGCAGCCTCGCACTGCAGCCGCACTGATGCGTGTGTGCGTGCAATGGGTGGCTGGGTTGCTAGGCAGCACCACGCATGCATGTGCATATGTGCATACCTCGCACCAAGCACATCAGTGCTAGGCACTGGCTAGTGCAAGCATTGCGTGGTGCATGATGCGTGTAGCGTGGATGATGCGAGGGATGAGCCAGCATGCGTGGCTCGCTAGCAGCACGCATGCTGGTTGTGCTAGCAATGGCGCGCGAGAGATGTGCGTGGCTGCTAGGGCCAGTGCCAGCACTAGGTGCTAGCAGCGCCCAGCGCCAGCACGTAGCACCAGCACAGCCCAGCAGCAGCGTGCACTGGCTGGCTGGCTGGGTGCTGGGCAGCAAGGCCACGCTAGCTGGCAGCCCCAGCTGGCAGCCAGCTAGCACACCTTGACCCGGTTTTGGGCATGGTGTATGGGGACCAATTCATGGCCTTAGGGATCAAGGCAATGGTCCCCCCCAAGCCTTGGTCCTCACTTGGCTTTCTCTATAATTATGCCAAGTGTCGATTTGTGATTGAGTTGATTAATTATTTAATTTTGGAAATTAAATAATTGTCATTTTACCAACTCTCCCACATTGATGGGAGATTGGAAATCAAGGGATCATTTCCCTATAAATACCAAGCTTGGTATTGGGATTTGAAACAACCTTGAGTGGAATTAAAAAGGCAACTCTAGAAAAGAGTAAACCTTTGATTCGTAAAACTCATAGTTATTTTGTCCGGGTCTTGACTAACCTTCAAGACTTGGGACGCTCGGGTCGGGTCGAGGGTACGATCCGTCGGAGATCTCGTCTTTTCGGGATTTTGAAGTAAGAGCTCTTTAGGAGCGAAGCACGCGTCAAAGGTATAATTCTTGTTCTTAATCTTGTTTGATTAAGTTTATTATGCTTGTTTAATTGCTTTAATTTAGGGGCGGGTCTTGGTGGGTTTCCTTCCGCGTAGTGTCGGGTCACTACGAAACCCTATAGTTGGGAGCTTTAAGGTTGTTGTTGCTGATGTTGTTCTTGTGGAAAGGACCTATTTGAAATACTCCATGGTCCAACACTTACTGCAGTTTGTTTTTAAAAAAGTAATAAAAAAAAACCCTCAGCATCAATGACATTTCAAAATTGACAGTACAACAAAGCAATGAACAAAATAGGCTTACATTTCTGGTAGCCCTTTCTTCCTTTCTTCTCCTCTGTTCTTGCAACAATGAAGTTTTTAGGACAGGCTTGATTGTTTGTTTTTTTTGCTCGGAGGTTAATGGTGTTTTCCTAGGTCCATTACTAGAAGTCTTGGCATAATGACAAAGTTGACCACGCTTCTTTCACCTTTTCTAAAACTTATGGAGCTTAGGTTGGGTCTCTTTGCTGTTTGGTGCACCCTCTCCCTTTTCCAGCTTCATCTTCTTTGATTTAGGCCTCCCTAGCATAACCCTAACTTGAGGTGGGAGTGATTTTCTAAGGTCTATCTTCTCCCAATGCTTTGGGCATGGAATAGGCTTTATAGCATCCTCATAGGCTAAAATATAAGTTGCCCTACTGTAATATGCATCCACATAGTCATCTAGGTCCACCCTCTTATCCAGAATACATGCAAATCCATGTACACACATGGAATCCCAGTCAACTGCCAATGATAACAGGAGCATGTCCTAAGGCTCAAGTCAACTTGAACTTGATCCCCTTTCAACTCATAACAATCCCCCTAGACGCCTAGACTATGCAATACCTAGCAACTTTTTCCATTCTAGCTTTGAAAGCCCTTAGTCACAAGGCATATTCTTCCCATCCATTTTCTGAACTGCTTCCCATTTCACTCTATTTCTCTTCATCATATACTTCCTCACCCACTCCATTTGAGTAAGAATGGGTTTATCCCTTGCATCCTTGATAACAGCATTAAATGTTTCACATAGGTTGTTTAAGAGCATATTAGACTTGCAGATATTAGAAAAGGCATGTTTGGACCAGTGTCTTGTTGGTATATTTTCTAAGTACTCATAAGCATCCTCTAACAGGCATTTTATGGACTCCATGGCAACCTCAAAATCAAACTACCATGTGCATCAAGACAAAAAAAACAAGCTAACTTAACATATTTGCAAATAATACAAACCATGACAGAACCAACCAACACATGAAATTGAAAGTTTATGTTTGCTAACTTGTAGAAAACAAAAGACAACCAACCAAACCAAACACAAACAATTAGCACTTACCAAAATAGTGGCCCTAGCTGCATTCTAGAACAAATCTTTGAATGTTGAACCAGTGAACTGGAGCTTAAAATTAGCCTATATGTGCCTCACACAGTATCTCTTCTCAGCTAATGGCACTAGCTGCTCAAAAGCTTCCAGCAACCCCTAAAAAAACAAAAACATTAAATAAATAGCTTATATGATGAAAATAGTTTCAATTTGTCACACTTTAGTTTAGAACATTCACCTTTTGTCTGTCAGACATGAAAGTCAAACCTAAGTTATTAGTGATATCAACAAGATCCTTCTTCAAAGACTCTAAGAACCAATACCATGTTTCTTTGTTTTCCACCTCAACTGTTGCCCATGCAAAAGGAAATATTTTATTATTTCCATCCTTGCCAATAGCAACCAATATTTGACCTAGATATGCTTCCTTTAAATTACATTCATCAAGACCTATCAGAGGCCTACACCTTTTGTTAAAACCAGCCCTCAATGGAGCCAAACAGATGTATATCCTCATGAAGATAGGAGGTTCTGGTTTATTAACTCCATCAACAACTACATAAACCCCACTGTCGAGGTTATACCTAATCACTGCCTTTCCATAATCCCAAACCCTAGCATATTGCTCTGAAGCTGAACCATATATCATTAACTAACCCTTGGCTCTTGCTAACCAAGCTTTAAAATACCCAATCTGTATTCCCAGGTCCCTTAAGCCCTGAAACTCTTGATTTTCTAGGTGGGATTGCTTCTCCACTCATCCACATACTTCTCTGCCAGGTACTCAACTATAACACATGAATTCATCTTTGATCTCATGCACTTGTGCTTTAGCCTCAACTCTTTGATTTTCCAAGCTCAACTGTCAAATAATCTCCTAGTAAACATCTTAAATCCACACCTTCTCACTTCTTCACTGCAATTGCATAATGGCAAGTTGCTTCTCTTAGGATTTCACTCACAGTTCGTTACACCTTCTTTTACAGAAATTAGTTACCCTGTCCCCTCCATTGTGCAAGTAGTAGTACTCATACTTATTCTCTATAGTATGTGTTCTCAATACCTTCCTTAACACATTACTGTTGCTGAACTTGAGCTGGTCAACAAGGACAACTGGCTTCTTAAAGTTAGTTTCTTCTTTGAATCAGGGGCTAGCATCTTCTTCCTCATCTGACCCATGAAGACTTCTAAATTCATTTGAGTCACTCCCCTCTACTTCCAGCTCTAAATCCTTGCAGCCAATGTCTTTCACAAGTTGTTTAAGCTTATGCTTTGAGTGCTCTACTATTTTCTTTGAATTATCACCTTGCTCACTAACCTGTATACTCTTTTGAACCTCTCCTAGTATACCCTTTCTTGTTTGTCTATGAAGAAGATCATGATTCTAATCCAGATTCCTCCCCCTTACGGCTTCCTCTTACACTTTGTGAATGCTTTTCTTTTTTCCTTACCCTTCCTCTTTTCACTCACCACACCGGATACACCCTTCCCCTTTTCATTCACACCACAAACAACCTAACCCTTTCCAGAATCTTTGATAAATCTAGGGCTTCTCCGATCTTAACCACAGACTGAATTGGTTTATTTTGTTGGAGTTTTGACAGAGGTAAGGAAACTTTAGGTGGTTCACTCTCAGCACACTTCACAAACGTTGGGCTCCTCCTATTCACTGGCACAATGCTGAGATCTAGGGTGTTTTCTGTTTCTGGTGGGCCTTTAAAATTTAAGCACTACTGTGTTTGAGATGGGTTGGATTGGTATGGGTTTGATTGGGATGCTAGTGATCCATTTTCAGTTTGGCTAGGCTCATTTGGTTTTGAAGGGGATGGTTATGACCCAGATTCAACTGGGTTGGAATTGGGTGAGTTTGAAATATGGTCTGTCACACTAGAATTCAGCCTGTCCCACTCTTCAAACCCCACTGTTTGAAAAAGCTCCACATACCCATCCTTGTGTTTGGCTTCTATGAACCCCCTAATATCTTTCTCATTCATAATCTTCCTTTTCCCATTTGTCCAAGTCTTTCCCTTTTCCTTATATCATATGCTAAATATGTTAGGCACCTCCCATCCCATATCTACAAATCCGCAATTTCCTATAAAATAATACCAAGACTACGAGAACACTAGAAAATGCATATTAGTAATAAAAGTGGCTCCAAAGAGCCAAAAATACTCCTAAATATAACCAAGGGACAGGGGTAAATCTCTATACAAAATGAACAAATCAATGACACTAAACCCAGGTGGACCTACCTCCTCTTCCAGTCAAATGCTTACACACACACAAACCATATATATGAAGATAAGTTAGAGAGAGAAAGCACAATGGTGCAACTGATAGGTTGAGAAAGAGAGATTCGTGGATAAAATGGGTGAAAAAATCTTCAATGGGGTTAATAATGGAGGTTGGGAGTATTGAATGGGAGGAGATAGAGTGAGACAGGGGTAGATACGGGGAGGAGAGAGTAATGAAGGGTGGTAGTTAATTAGGTGGGCCCCACTAACAGCAACATTGACATAAACCGTTAAATGGTAGTGATATATATATTTTTGGGGTTTGGATGGTAGTAAAATAAATAAAAAAATTAAACAGGTAGCAAATGTCAACCATGGTCATTTTACTGGTAGCAAATGTCAAATTTCCATCATTTCATCTCCTTTAGTTTATACCAACAATCCTGATAATGGTATTCATCTTAAATTTCACAACATTCCTGGTATGCGGTTCATCTCTTCAATAAAAAAATTTAATTTATTTTTTTTTTAAGTTTTTTCCCTCGACAACCATTAGTTTTATATTAATATTTCTCTTTTCTTCTTCCTCACCAATTCAATGTCTCTTCCCCGTTTTTGGATTCAAGCATATTATGAATTTACTTCTCTTCTTTTGTTTCGTGTATTTGAAGTATAAACAAACCATTGGAGTTGAATTCTAATTTCTGATTTGCAACAATAATTTATCCAATTTTCCCCATTTTATGTTTAATTTAAGAAAATGAAGGTATGTTTCTTTGAAATTTACAATTGTGTTTGCCATGAATTGATGAATTTAATACAAATGTCAATTTTACATCAAAGTAGTGGTCAATTTATTGAGTTAATGATTTTAAATCTGTACAAATTTGTGACGAATAGTCCAATCGTCAAAATTTTTGTAAGAAACAGTGAGCATAATGCAAAATTGTTATAGGTTGAAGTACTGAAGGATACAATTTTTGTGAGCAATTGTAAAAATTTGTGATGAATAGTCCAATCGTCACAAATTTCATAAGAAACAATGAGTATAAATGCAAAAAATTTGTTAACATCCTTTTTCTAAAGTATTTGATTTGCATTATAGCAGTGTTTATCCTTTTTAAATTTTATATTTTTTTTTCTCAAAAACCAGTGGCAGAAGCACACCATTTAAGTGGTGTCAAGAGACCCCACTTGAGCATAAAAATTTCATATAAAATTATTTTTATTACTTGTATTTTTATAAAATGACCCAATAAAATTTATCAAATTATTTTGACCCTGTTAAATATTTTTTCTATATCCGTCATAGTTAAAAATCAATTTATATCTTTTCTGGTTTACATTTATATTTAGGAAATTTTGTATTTTACCATCCACTAAATACACTTATTTTGAAATTACACCCAAAAAAATATTATCTTAAATTACCACCCATTAAATTAAAAAACTAATTAAATCACCACCTTTTTCATATTTCTGGTCATTTTTCCGACAGTGGACCCCACATAACGGCTATTTTGACCTTATTTCTATTTTTTTCATCGATTTTATTTTATAAAACTACTCTTCAATCTCCTCCACAATTTCTTCATCAATTACCTCCAAATTCTCACAAAATTTGCAAGGTTGTATTTGAAGAAATCTTTCACACAAGTGCAGACGCTCCTTTCACAATCATGTAAGCTCAATTCTTTGTTAAATTATGGTTCTTCGCACAATTAAATTGGGTGTTTTCTGAAGTTAGGGTTCCTACTTCAATTGAATTGGGTGGGTTCCTACTTCAATTAAATTGGGGGTTTTTAGAAATTAGGGTTCTTCGCGGTTATTGTTATGCAATTGTCTTAATTAAACAAATGATGATTAATGTATTGATAAGAGTTTTTATGGTTATGATTGTGGATATACTTGATTTATAACGTGGATGTAGTTGAATAAATGCACAATTTGAATTGTTTAAATTACTAAATGTTGTTCATGTTGAAGGAGTGTTGATGTAGATGTAAGATAGCAGTTTTTTTTTTTATAAAAAAAAATAAAATTGTTTTGCAGAATGGGTGAGACTAAGGTATTGAGATTTCAGTACTTGAGGGTAGATGTGGACATTGAAGTAGACTTAATGCAAAGAGGAAGAAATTTAGGGTTTACTTTCATTAATGGTGGGGGAGGTTGATAATTTGACAATGAATTTATGAGGAAAGAAGAAGAAATTTAATGCAGGAAGAGTAGAGTAGAGCAGATATAGAAATCGAGAGAAAAGAAGGAAAAAGGAAAAAAAAAACAAAAAAAAAAGTAGAGCCCACTATTGGAAAAATGACCACGAATATGAAAAAGGTGGTGATTTAATTAGTTTTTTAACTTAATGGGTGGTAATTTAAAATAATTTTTTTTGGGTGGTAATTTCAAAATAGGTGTATTTAGTGGGTGGTAAAATACAAAATTTCCTTATATTTATGGAGTTTAATGTTTAAAATTGTTGTTAACATCCTTTTTTTTAAGTATTTGATTTGCATGATACAAGTAGTAGTGTTTATCCTTCTAAAATTTTACATCTCTTTTCTTAAAAACAAAAAAATTTATTGCCTTTGTTTTGTTAGGAATTTGGAGTTGTACATGAATTATTTTCCACTTTGACATGTGTATATAAATGTGGATCTTTTTACCTGGTTCATTTGTTTTGGGAAAATGACAATATGAAAGATTTTGATTTTTTTCTAAAATTTTGTTGATTATTTTTAAAAATGAGCAGTTGATTTAGGAGACATTATTTAGACTAGTGATGTGAAATTGAGATTTTATCTTTGGGATGTCGGCTCTAATTTTTTAGAGTAAGAAAGAAATTCTTAACCAATGTTGCTTTTGGATTAATTCAACAAGCTAAGAGGTACATGCTACACGTGTATTAGGAGTTGTGTGATAATACAGACGAAATATTTACTAAAAGCATAAGAAAGAAAGATGAACAAAAAAAACCATAAATGAGCAAAATTTGGAGGAGTATTTTTCAAAAAAAAAAGAAAAAGAAAATTAAGAGTAGTTCCAATTTTTATAGGAAGTAAGAACATTTGAAGATATAAATTTACGCAGAAGAAAGGGAGCAGTTATTATAGGGTGGTTATGTGTTTAAAAAAAATTATGGGTAGTTATGATAAGACTTTTTTTTTACAAAAATTATTATATCTGTAATAATTGTGATTTGTGAATAAGATAGGTAATTTTGCAATTTGAGAGGGGTAATTTAGGGATATTGAAATTTATCACCCAAAAGGTCTTTTCATTTTATATACAGGACATATAATTGTTTTGAGATATTGATTAATTTATTACTGTTACAATTTATGATATTCTTCTTTTTATTCTGGAATGTGAAATTTCTTTTGCTTTTATTTATCCCCCTGTTTTTCTAGGATAAAAATGATTTTCTCTATCTGCCATTTTTAAGGGTTCAATATTGATTTAATTACTTCTTCCTTTTTACTTATATTTATGGGAAACGTAGCTTTATGAGAACATCTCTTTAATAAAAAAATATTTCATCAAAAAGTTTAAGTTCTGCATCGCATGGATAACCGGTTGTTGAAGGTAAAGGGCTTACGTGGCAGTGGTCGTCGCGGAATATTTGACCTTTTTAAAAAAAACTCTCCCTTTTTCCATTTTATCCAGCCTTACTTGTTCCCCACATCTTCTTCTCCCAGGTTCTCTCCATCTCCTCTTCTTCTCTAAATTACTTTGGTCCCCATGTCTTCAAGGAAGCAATCCCCAAATTCATCTAGGTCATCATCAATCTCTAGAAGGGATGGGTAATAAAAAATTAGCTGCAATTGTGGGAAGGATGCAGTGGTTCGTACTGTGAGACAAAGACCAAATTTGGGGATGAAATTCTATTGTTACCCTTTATGGCCAATAAGTTGTTTGATTTTCAATTTTTGATTTGTTTGGTTAATTATTGATCATTTGTTGTGTATAGGATACACAATGTGTTATGTTTAGATGGGTGAATCAAAACAGTGATTTTGATGACTTGCAATGAAGATTTTAGAGAAAGACCACCATTATTTGTGAGATGGAAGCAGTGGCGGATCTAGGATTCGGATAATGGGGTTACGAAGTTAATAAAAAATATTAAAATAATCCAGGATCCTCCCTACAGCATTTCGATCATTGGGAGGATAAGAGGAAATTGGCTTTCTTTTTCCCAGGTCATGGGGAAGAAGCTCAACATCATAAATAGCTTCCTCACAAGTAGTTCTTGCTGTAATGTCATGTGTATTTTCAGTCCTTTTTTGTTCATTTTCTTCCTGAATTAGAGAAGCAGGGACTTCATGCTCCACGGTCTCAATCTCCTCATCAACAAATCCATCCACTTCTTGCTCAATATCATTTATTGGAGGGTATGGAGGCTCTTGTGATGGTTGTGAGCTTGGGGAAGATGCAATACAAGATTTCTGTGATTTCCCTCCACCTCCCTTCCAAAAGTATTCTAAACTTTTGTTTTTCATCTTCCAATTCTGTCAAATTCATACAACTAATTCAACTATTGAAATTGAAAAATTAAAACTAATTCACTAATTCAACAAATTAACAAACCAAAATTATTAAACAGGTAAACAGAATAACATATAAATTATTAAATTAAAAGTAGGATTGTAGGAAGCTTGGAACATTAAAAAATTAAAATGAAAACTGAAAAATCGAAAAATTGAAAGCACTTACCGTGAGATTGTTGGCTCAATTTCACTCCCCAGTCGATGTGGAACCTGCTGCCAGAGTGAAATCGCCACTGCCGGAGAAGTGGGTTGAGGTCGTGAGGCGCCGCTGAGCAGTCGGAGGTGACGGACTAACGGAGGAATTCTAGATATAGGTTTTGTACTTTGTGAAATTGTGAACTGAGGAAGTGAGGAGAGAGAGCGTGTTTTTTTTATTTGAATTGGGTCCTTTTTTTTAATAATAATTACTTGTTTATGGGGACTGACAGCTATTTAATATTTCAGCCAAAGAGACTGGGTATCTAAGAGAACAGGTCTCTTTTACTGTTAATTTTTTTTCCCTCTTTTTTTTTTCAAAATGGGGGTACAGCTGCACCTCTGTGTATCCCTCGAATCCGCCACTGGATGAAGGTTGAACAAAAAAATAAGGGACCAAATTAGAAGCTACAGTTGAAGAGGGAAAATTTGGATGAAGATGTTCAAGACATGAAATTTGAGGTGTCACGTATGCGGATTGAGTTAATGAAGTATGCAAGGAATTAAAAATGTTGATTGCATTGGTTTTGTCATGGATATTTTTTGGTGTACTTCTATTTTATGTTACGTAATTTGTGTTGTAATGATACTACTGTAATAGGAAGCAACATTGGTGTAGTTCTACTTTAATGTTTTAAAATTGTGCCATCTATTTGCAATAAATGAATGAAGTTATCAATAATAATTTTTCATCAGTGAACATAACTTTTGCAAATGATTAAGTACAATGAGTTGCAACACAAAATTAAAATAATGAAGACAACAACTCTTAAGGGTTTTATTTCTATATCCTTATTTAATTTTTCCTGTTATGGTGTTCTTGAACGTACTCATATCTGCTCTCTTTGTTAAACCAAACGATCCCTAAGTTGAACTAAACTTAATCACAACCGGCGGGGTGCTTATGAGTACAGAAATCTGGCAAGCTTCTCGAGCTCGACTCGGTTAAAACTCAAATTTAGTGAGTTCGACTCGAGCTCGAGATTGATTCGATATGTTGATGAGTCTAGTTGAGTAGCTCTTTACTTGACTCAAAAGCTCATGAGATATCTGAATTCCTTTATACGTTAATAAAAATAAAATTTTGATTAAATTTTATTACAATAATAATTAATAGATATACGGTATTTATGTACTCATATCATCATATGTATATTTCTCAAAAGACAAAATTAAAGAGTTGATAGAGATGTTACACTAAATAGCAGGTTTCACTAAAATGGATCAAATTGCTAATCGAGAAAGACTTAGGCAAAGGTCGACTTAGTCAAATTTGGTAAAACCTCGACTCAGGCACAGATCGATCAAACCTCAACTCAATAAAAAAATCGGTCAACACTTGACCCCATTAAGCTCGACGCAATATATTAACAAGTCAAGTCGAGCTACCTGAAACTCGAATTCAACTCACATCATAAACACGGTTAAGAATTGGCGCATAGCTGCTATTTACATGGCAAATAAATAGCAGCTATAAGACAAAAGAGTGGTGATTTTTTTTTTTTTTTTTTATAAATAGTACTACTAAAACAACTTATACTCTAATACTATAAAATACATGTATAATAGTATATTAAAAATACCACTGTAAATATAATAGTACATTAAAAATATTAGTGTAGCAATAAAAAATACAAAAATTAAATGAATTTACCAATTAGCTTAGCCCTCATATATGCATTCCAAATACATATCAACTATGCGCCTAGCTGCACTCCATAAACATCCTTATCAAATATCAACCTGTAAAATTCCATAAGAACAAAAACATATTGGATCAATACTGCTTTTTAATCCCAACTTTGCCCAATTTATTTTAAATAATCCCAACTTTCGATTATTCTGCAATAATCCCAACTTTAGGGTGTCTTTTCTTTCTTCGATCCGGATTACCGATTACTTGAAGAAAGGGTTAAAAATTTGACACGTGTTGCATGCTAATTGGTTCACCAAAATAAAAATAAATTAATTAAAAAAAAAAAAAACCCAAAGATCCATTTTGTCTCTCCTCCCCTTTGTTGTTCATCTGTGGCTATTAGCTGCCATGGCAACCACCACCATTTTACCCTAGCTAGCCACCATCCATCCTCACCAAAACCATCTAGCCACCGCCCACCCTCACCAAAACCAGAATCGCCCACCTCCGTCCCCTCAGTTAGCTGCCCCCCTCCCCCATCAACCTACCTCCCCTCACCATCACCCCACCGCAGCACCCCTCCCCTTCCCCTCCCTTTCCTGACCGCCCCTCCCCTCCCCCTTCCCCTTCCCCTTCCCCTTACCTTTCCGACCACCCCCTTCACCCTTTTCCGACCAACCCTCCCCTTCCTTTCTCCCATACCCACCTAAAACCGGCAACCCTGAAATCTCAAAACTTTAACCACCCTTGAAACCCCGAAACCACCCCCCTGAATCCGACCATCATTTGCGACCCACACAACAAAGCCACCCCCTCAACCAACCACCACCAACAACCCACAATCGGCCACCCTGCCTCCCCTTCAACCCACCACCAACAATGACGACCCACAATCGGCCACCCCTCAACTTACCATTGTTTGCGTTTTCCGGCAATTGGAGGAGAAAGAAAGTGAGGGGGCTGCATTTTTGGTGGTTTTGGGGGTTGGAGAAGTGGTTTCGAAGGTGAGGGTTGTTGTTACAGGTGGTATCGGGGGTTATGGGTGGCGGTTTCAAGGTCGTGGGCTTTGGTTATGGTGGTTTCGGGTTTTATGGGTGGCGGTTTCAAGGCAAGGGTTTTGGCTATGGCTAGTTCAGGGGATGGGGGAAGGCACAGTGGGCCGGTTTCGCGGTGGTAGGGCGAACCTGGGGAGGTTTTGGGGACTGGGGCTACGGAGATGGTGCTTTTGGGTGAGTGGCCACCGCCAGCGGTTGTGGGCTGGTGGTGGCTTGGTTGGTTTTTTTTTTTCTTTTTTTTTATTGAATTTTTTTTAATATTTTTTTTTAATTTTTTGAACCAATTACAACTTGACACGTGTCAAATGACCTAGAATAAGAGGTCATTGACTTTCGTTGACTGGTTTGAGATTGAAGAAAGAAAACGCAGGTGAGAGCTGAGATTATTACAGAATAATCGAAAGTTGGGATTATTTAAAATAAATTGAGCAAAATTGAGATTAAAAAACAGTATTAATCCAAACATATTCCATAAATGAAAATGACTGTTTTATTAAGATTTGGCGGTTGATATATGCGTGTCATTATTAATTATCTTATTTATGTTTAACTCTTTCTCTTTTTTTCCTCTTTGGAGCTTCTTTACGTTGACGCTGCATCCACCAACCCCTCTCCTTCTTCTCTCCTCCATTAAAGCGCACTCTGAATTCTCCATTGAAGCAGCTTCTGAGCTTTCTCTCCTCCATTAAAGCAGCTTCTCAGGTAATATTTTTATTTATTTATTATTTATTTATTTATTTTTTTTATCATCGAATATGAATTTCACAACCTAGCGTTTATTGTAAATTTAGTGAATTTAGGGCTCTTCTAAGATGAAATATTGGACTACTGCTAATAATTACTGAAGTTACGAAAAATTGTAATTACCGATTTTGTTGCTAGAATTTTTCTACTCATATTCTGAATCCAGTAGAATTTGACTTATTTTCGAGTCTAAATTTGATAATTGGGTCAAAATTGGGGCTGCTAATCTGTTTGTGGATTTTAAAATGTAATCCTACCAACCCAAAATTTGTTGACCTTAAGATGATAGAGTAGTTTTAGGATGACTTGTACCACATAAACTATCAATCAGTGTTATAGTCAAAGTTCCTTTGACTCTAAATCTGGTCACATCTTGAATAATGCTTGATGTTAGACGAGGATCCGATTTCGATTTCGTAGCCATGTTTCCGACATTTGGTGTTTAACGAGGATCGGATTCCTACTGTTTATTGGAAGGATATGGCATCGGCGTTAATATATATTACCCGTCATGTGTAGAATTTAGAATTATGACTACAATTATCCTCGGTGTAGTGAGAAGTTATTGGCTTGGATTAATTCAGATAAAACCAATCTATCACTTATCGTGATATTATAAGCAAGCTTTTTAATTAAGGTGGTACGTATCAAATTAAAGTAGAAATGCTACCAACCGAGTTAGTTGTTGACTGCTAACTTAGATTGACTAATTTAAGCGTCAATTTATGAAAGGCGAACTGGACAGAACAAAATTGGCTCGATGAGCTAAGAATCTGCAATGGATGATGAAAAATTTAATAGTAAACAAGATACTTCCTCAGCCCCCCATTAAACTTCCTGTTTCTCCTAGGCACAGGTTTTAGGAGAGAAGTTGTAGCGGAGATTTGTTGATTGGAAGTCATGAAAAAGGTAGTGGGTATGTTTTTTAAGAGGAGATAAGACTTGTTGATTGGAAGTCTTGAAAAAGGTAGTGGGTATGTTTTTTAAGGGGAGATAAGACGATTGAAAACAGCATTTTGTTATGTAGATCCACCCAAAATGTGATATCAGAAGTTTAATGGGAGACAAGTATTTTTGTGAGAAATGGAAAATTTAACGGGGGACAGAGGGAGTCCGAATTAATGAACGTGAAACTCAAACATTCTTCTGGGGTAATTCCATGCTCCAATCATTAAATTAGACTAATGTACCTAAGTAATCTGAATAGAACTACTAAGCTGCCATAAGATGAAGTACTTTACTGTAAAACAAGCTTGACCTCGCTGGAATTAGCACTGATGGCATTTATGCATCACACTTAGCCAATCAAGCTACTGATTCCATAACTCTGTAGACATCCCATATTAGAACTAACAAACCAGGTTCAAGAGGAAATAGAACACTTCCCCTTATACAAATTAAAAAGTTCTAAATTATATTCATCGTCATTTGTACATTTGAATCAAAGGTCTATCTACTGAGCTGGTTTATTAAGCCCTGCTGGTGTACTGTGTTCAGTATTAAATATTGCGAACATCAGTTTTACAACCTTACATCTAACCATTAAGATCAAAGCCCTCTATAGCTAAGGAAATGTTGGCTTAAGCGGAGCTATATTCCAAGTTGGTAGGAGCTGCTTGCCTTCTTTCTTGAGCTTCATCATTGCAGACTGCTGTTCCTTTGTTGCAGCTTTTCAGAATGATGCACGGGTAGTTTTATCTTAAAATAACTATACCTATTTGATGAATTACATCATAGGATGGAACTTTAGGTAGTTAAAGCTAATTAAGTTCCTGTTGTTTCAACTCTTAGAACTGTTGTAGATTTCCTGTGTTAAGTCTTCAAGCTCAATGAGCTTTCTTTAACCACTGGCTGAATTACAACCTTGGGAAAACTTCAAACTAATTTAAGTATGAAAAGCCTAACTAATGAAGATAATCTAGCTACCTACACACATAAAGCAACTGTCTCAACTGAACAGCTGAGAAATTAGTTAGCTAAATTGGATTAAGGAAAGGATGCTTGCATTACTCCTCCTTTCCTTCTCTCTTTGTCCTACCCCTTTCTTTCCCTCCACCATTGCTATCAAAACACCCCATTTAAGTCAATTGTCATAGTATAGGTATATGTAGAAATCAAAAATAATAATTAGGAAATTTTGTGTAGAACTCATGGTATAAAAACTCGCCCGTTACGTCGCAATGCGGCCGAGATGTCACGGATTTTGAGCTTGCCGTTACGAGATTTCCCATTTTGTAACGGGTTTTTTTAAAACACCACATTTTAGCCGATACGGGCGGTACTCAGCTAGAACGCCCATAAATAGCTTGAATTTTGGTTGAAAGTTTATGCAGCTCCATTGTTTCCGATGACTGCATGATAAAGAATTAGAAAGAGAAAGTGGGAGAAGTGTGGGAGTGTGGGACACCTGTGTGGTCATATGGTTGTTCTTTAAAATATTTTATAATTCTTTTACTTTACCCATGTCCTATTGTCATCACAAATTCTATTGACTTTTGGACACATCTTTACTTTTATACTTTTACGTAGTACCATGTGATTATTATATTTTTTTATTTACTTTTATTTTTTACAGCTTATGTACTATGTACTACTTTTATTAGTTTCTTTTAAGAAATATACTCTGTAGTCTTTATTTTCTATTATTACTACTAGGAGTGTTCTGATTTTTATGAAACAGCACATAAAAAATTATTACTTTTTTAATTTTCTATCGCGATCACCGCGACCCGGTCCGAGACCAACGCATCATTTCCGTTACCGTATTACTGCGACCGGACCGATACCGCATTTTTATTCTATGGTAGAACTATCCTAAAAATAGGCTGTGTTGTGAACAACTACCCGTTTTTTCAAATTTTGTTTAGAATTGCCCATAAGATCGCAAACATTTGTCTACCACTACACATAAGACCGTAAACGATTTTCGTCTAATTGAGCCGTTTGTAGGGCCCATTTCTATGATTTCCAACCTAATCAACTCCCCTCCTCAACTACCTCTCTCTTCCTTCATTATTTACTTTCCCTCCATTTTCACTTCTTTTCTTTGGCCTTCCACGTTTCACCATCTTAATCTGATCTAAGCAAATCTCCAAATTCATCCCCTTTTCAGAAAATTGACAGGGCCTAAAACCCTTTTTATTTTTGTTGCCTCTCTCTTTCCTATTCATCTTCTTGCTGTTTTGGGTAATTTCATGTCAGAGGGTGATACTACACCAATAATTAAAGGGAAGGGGAAAGTAAATGCAAAAAATATTAAACGAAAACAAGGATGAACGAGGTACAATATAGTAACAAGGTTGAACATGTGGGAAACCCTAATTTTTTATCGTTCAAATTAGAACCCTAAATTTTTAATAAACAAAATAAGCAAAGCCCCTAATTCAATTAAATCCTTAAGCCCTAGAAATTAAAATCTCCAAACTGATTTAAAGCTCTAAACCCTAAATTGTATCCCTAATTATGTTAATTGAAGTAAATTAAAAACCCTAAACCAATTAAACAAATCAAGAATTAAAATACTAGCTTAAAACATTACATGATTTAGTGAGAAATTGTGTTAAATTGCTCGAATTTTTTTCTCTTTGATTTTTGGTTGAGTTTGGAGGGGAAATATATGAAGGAGGAGAAAATTGAGTGAGAAACCGTAGGAGTGGGTCCCACAAACGGCTCAGTTGGACGGAAATTGTTTATGGGTAGTGCTGACAATATTTGCAATCTTATGGGTAGTTTTAAACAAAATGAAAAACACGGGTAATTGTTCACAAAACAGCCTATATTTAGGGTAGTTTTACACAAAATTTCCTAATAATTAGATGGAAGAGTGTGAAAGTTTGTGGTTTTTGAATCATAAGAATAAAGATATTGTGTAGGCCTTTTTTTCAAATTGGTTAACTTTATATATGTTTGTATTGAAACATGGAGATTTACGATCTCTTATCTTGAAAACATTATAGTACTTCGTACCCATAAAATTCACAAAGTTTTATCTGGAAACCAATGCTGTCTGTCAATAATTAGTTTGTGGGATGTTATTGTAGATTTTTGGTACCTTTAAGTTTGTTTTATCATTGTCCATGAGACTAATTTCATGGTTAGATCGTAGTTGAGATGACAAGAGTAGATGAAATATGGTTCAAGCCTAAAATAATTTACTCCTGTCCTTCAATACTTCAAACCTTTTCACTTATTAAAGTTATGCATGTTTGGTTCTGCTTGGGTGGTTATATGAGTTTGAAGGAACGGTCCATGTGAGGATAATTGAACTAGAAATGCATCTCTTTGTTGGGATATAGGTCGGGTTTTCTCACAAATTGATGATCTAATGGAAATTAATTGATGCATATGAAAGAAGAAATAGAGGAAGGAGATAAGCTTATATTAATTGATCAGAGTAACCAAACAATTACAAGCTACCACAAAATTTGAGGAGTGGATTGGCCTCCTAGCTAACAATAAGCAAAAGTAATGAAACAGTTTTCAGTATGCCCTCTCCATTATCTTATTCCCGTATTTATATTCTAGTAAATGTTACTTCTCACTCTTCAAACAAACATATGGATAATTCCTTGACTGCCCTTGTATGTTTTCCAATCATTCCTGATCATTTACTGCATGATGTCATTCCTCCTTTTCCCCCTTTTTCTGGAGTATATATCAAAGTGCATAGTAACAAAGGAGGAAAATGAGGACAGTAAAATTCACACTTTAATGCCAAGTCACAAAATTAAACTCCTACCAATATACTATATTATTTTTCCTTCCCATCTACTGGAGGAGTAGGAAAATAATCATTACTCCTTCCGTCTTTGCATACTTGTAACACTTTTCTTATTAGGTCATCTCCTATTGCGTGCAACACATCTATAAATGCATGGGCCTATTATTTAGTACGGAGTATTATTTTTGTTCACTTTACTTGGTATCTATTATCACTAGTCATAAAAAAAAAACCCTCACTGTTAACTAAATTTAATAAGAGAACCTTACTAATTATTATCTATAATAAAAATAAACCCACTATTCACTAACTATAAAATAAAAATTCTCCCACCACTATCAAAATGAATATTAGAAGTCAACAAGTCAATTTGTTTGTCTAAAACCCTTCCCGGTCAAAGTGTGGCGAGTAATTTGGGATGGAGGGATTATTTAATTTCAAATAAGTTATCCATGCATTTTAGAGCATAGAGTAACTCAAAAGCATTGTCTGGGCTAGAAACTAGTACAATAGTACTTCATAACATTGTACGACTAAATAAAATATAACTCATAGGTTCAAGCAAAGATTCATATTTGTGCTAAGTTTCTTTAGGTTTCTATTCACAGTCTTAAAGTTATATCATGCTAGATGGGCTAGTTGCTATTGCCATTTTTAATGATAAATCATGCTAGATGGGCCAAACTAACATCAACAGCATCTTGCAGTTCCCATCTGCCACTTATTCATTTCTTCTCTCCTAGTTGGCAAATTCTTCTTTTATTTATTTTGTCCAAAGTCACTTATTCATTCCTTCTCTCCTAGTTGGCAAATTCTTCTTGTGTTTATTTTGTCCAAATCTTCTCATATTTGAGTTCTGTAGTACACTTCTGTTACATAGTTTTGGGGGCTTGTTCCATGATCATTTTCTTTGCTTCTCATCAATTATATACAGCTAAGTGATCGTCTATTTTGCATTTCCACTGTCTAGCCAATGTGTTTTCCCCCCTTAAAATTTAAATATTGTGTTTAATGTCTTATAATGCGTGGTGACATCCAAATGCCGTGTTCTTTCTTTCGTTATGCAGTTGCACTGAGGAGGGAGGTTTGAATTTTGAAGATGGAAGTTGGCAAGCCCCTTAAAACTGAAATTGAGTTAAAGCACCGTCCTTTGACACCTTTTAGGATTTTGAGGGGTTTAATATGCTTGACGGTCATTCTTTCAACTGCTTTTATGTTCTTAGTGTTCTTTGCACCTCTGGTAGCAGGCTTGTTACGGGTCTGCAGTATCCATTACAGTAGGAAAGTTGCAGCCTTTTTCTTTGGTCTTTGGTTGGCATTATGGCCTTTTCTATTTGAGAAGATAAACAAAACCAATCTTTTTTTCTCTGGAGAAAACGTTCCTGCTGGGGAGCGTGTTTTGCTTATTGCCAATCACAGAACTGAGATTGATTGGATGTACTTATGGGATCTCGCACTGAGGAAAGGACGTCTTGGCTACATCAAGTACATCCTTAAAAATAGTTTAATGAAACTTCCAATATTTGGCTGGGCATTTAATGTATTTGAGTTCATACCTCTAGAAAGGAAGTGGGAGACTGATGAACCGATCATGCACCAAATGCTACTGACATTTACTAGCCATCAGGATCCCTTGTGGCTTGCTCTGTTCCCTGAAGGAACTGATTTTACGTAATAACTCATACTCCTCTATATCAAATTAATATATTTTCGTCACTTGGTTTGATATTTTATTTTGAGAAAAGTGACAAGCATAGTGATATTTGAATCGAACATCAGTGTACAATGTAGTAATTCACTGTTCTCAATGCTTGCCATATTAATGCAATGCTTCTGAAAGTTCCTTAATTTAGCTTGATATTACGATGCTATTCTTACTGCACGTTGTAGTCCCTGATAATATGGTGGCCAATTATTGGCCAAACTACTGGGGCATTAACTCCAGTGACAATTTATTGCTTAGCTATGCTTCGCAATGAAAAAGGCACCATGGGTTCTACATTTTATGGAATTTTATGCTGACAGGTTAGTCAAGCAATAGATTCCATGCTTGACTTTTATTGGCTGCCAAAGTATTGTTTATCTTTTAATGTTAATTGTTCTAGTTTTTCCCTTCATTTAGCCACTGACTGCTTTATCACTTTTCTTTATATTTTTGGCAGTGAACAGAAATGTACAAGTAGTCAGAACTTCGCCTCTCAAAATGGTCTTCCTGTTCTGAAGAATGTTTTGCTTCCTAAAACAAAAGGTTTCTGTGCTTGTCTGGACACTTTAAGGAGTTCCTTAGACGCAGGTAGGTTCAATTTTATTTTTTTTTACCTTTTTCTGTTAATTTCCATTCATGCCATTCCCCAAAGAATGTGTTTCAGGAATCAGGCAGTAAAGTACAATCTCTGAGAAGTGGGTACTAAAGAAAGAAATTATGAAAATCCGACTCTTCACCCATTTTCTTCTTCTTTTGCTCATTTAAAAAAATTAAATAAATATTTGAATTGGTGGTTCATGGTTTTGAAATTTTGTATCTGTGATAATATTATGATGCATGAGATTACCAATTATATTGTAGTTAAAAGAATATAATATTGTGGAGGGAGTTGAAACTCAAAATTCTTTTGGAAAGGACATTTCTAAAAATAAAAATTAAGTGCTACTACCTCTGCTGTCGTTAGAAGTTCTTAACATTTACTATTTGCAGTTAAGATAATTGGAGAGTTAATAGGCGTGTCGCATACCTAACAAATACTTCCTCCATTTCTTTATAGTTACAACACTCGCTTTATCACGATATTTAAGAAAAGTGGACCTCATATAATACACTTAAAATGGGGTTAAGAGGTTGTTAGGTGTATAATCAAGTGAGCCATGAACTTTAAATAAAGGTAATAGTACAATTTTCTCCATAAAAACCTTCTTTTTATAGTGTGTTGCAACTATTGTGACATTTTCATTTTAGGGAAGTGTTGCAACTATAAAGAAACGGAGGAAGTATAACTTAATTATTTGTCCTATTACGTAGTTGAGTAAGGGTATATTTCTTTTGTAACATCCAATGAGGTCGGGAATCACATCAAAATCTCCAAATTCCTACATAACACAATAAAATAGATCAAACCACGCTAGAAGAGAGATTATTAGGAGAACGGCTCTGAAGAGCTGAAAACCATACGAAATTAACCTTAAAGCGGGTATAAACATAGTACAAAATGTATATGTCAAGAGTGAATGTTGATGTGATGAGTGGGCGAAAGAAAGGTGGGTAAATTAAGAGAGATAATGTATAAAGGTGAGTAGGTGTAAGCAAAATGTGAATAATATAAGAAATAGTGAGTAAATGTTGTAAATATTGTTGAATAAGAGGGGTAAGTAGTAAAAGGAATTTGCCAAAAAATGGAATTAACACTATGTTTGGATAACAATAGTGAAGGGAAATGGAGGGGAAGGAAAAAGAGGGACGGGGAAGGAAGAAGGTGACCTTCCATTTTCCAAATCTCTCCAACAATGGAAAATGGAAGGTCACCTTTGTCCAAAGACAGGCTTTGTAGCCTTGTAGGTGAAATCTGTGACAAGACTTAGGATCTCTTTTGTTGTTTTTTTTTCTCCAACAATAGTTTTCCAGCTTCTGATCTATTTTTTGCAGTTTATGATGTGACTATTGCATACAAGAACAGTTGTCCTGATTTAATGGACAATGTATTTGGAGTAGATCCCTCAGAAGTCCATGTTAATATTCGGCGCATTCCATTAAAGCAAATTCCAGTACCTGAAGAGGAGGCTTCTGCTTGGTTGATGGATGCATTTCGGCGCAAGGATCAGTTGCTTACATACTTCAACACCAAAGGACATTTTCCAAACCAGAGAACCGAAGCAGAACTGTCAACTGCTAAGTGCTTGATAAATTGTACCCTGGTAATCGCATTGACTGGTATTTTTACATATTTTGCCTTTGTTTCTACGTGGGTAAGAGTTTACATAGCCTTAAGTTGTGTATATCTTTCTTCCGTTACTTATTTTAACTTTCGACCGTTGCCACTATTGGACTTTATAAAGCCACGGCTATGTAGAGACTATTGTAAAAAATGAAGAATATTAGAAAAAAAAAAATTGAAATTTTTTCCATAAAATTTGAGTTTGTAGATAGTTTCCTAGAAGCACATACAAACACATGTTATCTGATGCCCTTTTCCTTCTCAGGCTATTGCTTGTGGATGTACAATTTAACTATGGTGATATATCATACTGAATATCTACAAACTATAAGTAAAGAAAATAAACCAGTTTTGTAATGTAGGAAAGAACTGGCATTTTTAGTCTAATATATTGAGAACAGCAGGTAAATTATTTATTTACTTTCTTTTGTGGGTAAGGGAAAGAGCTGCACTATGTTAGGATCCGTTACTGTGGATGACCATATGAGGTAAACTCTCGGTTCATGCAGTCGATTCCATGTAATATATATTTGGTAACAAAGCTATGAATTTGTTGTTGTTAAGGATCTCCCTCATCTCGAGGCTCTACCTATCTAATTCAAGAATAGGAAATATATTAGAACTATGGAAACATTTTTTTTTTGAGCTACTAGGGGTGGATTATGAAAATCAATCTCAAGATCCCTTGAAATCAAGAGACAAGATCTAACCAATTGAGCTATCTTTTATTCTCAACTACGAAAACAATTAACTCACACGGTTAATGAGTAACTCACACGGTCACGCCCTCCCCCCGATTAAAAAAATTATATATGTAAAAGAAGAAAAAACTACAATGTTTTCATAATTATTTCAATCCTTATAAAGGGTTTTGTTAAACTTTTTTGTAAGGTAGGGATTAGGGTACGGTGCACAATAGTTGAAAATTATACTCCATAGCCGGCTACCCGGTATATATGGGCCGTGGCTAAAATAAAAACTTATATGTTATTTGTTTTTTAACACAAGTACTAAATGCAGTATAAATTAACTTAAATGCAGAACCCAAAAGACCAAACTATCCTTTAAATAATTAAAACCTCTACTTGGGGTCCAAATAACTTATTTGGGCAGATCAGTTGAATAACCAATTAAGCCCAATGTCCACAAAAGCCCTTCCATGCCTACAAGTTGAAATCATCCAAAGTCTGTTAAGCAATCTCACTTGCCTCATAGATCAAGTCAGCCCTTCCACATTGGGGCCCATGTCACCAAGGTATAACTACTCCAAAAATTACCAAACAAGGTATCTACAAACACTCTCACATTTATTACACTTGTGTGCATTGATTTCTCTCTTTGAGTATCAATCACAAGTACTGACTTAGGCATCGGAGAGGTTTCCTCGAACGCACTCGAGGCCAATTAACGTGCTCTTACTAGTGTACGAGTAATTTTTTTAATTTTACCAAAGCAACACAGACAAGATTAATTGATTGATCATTTAAATCAGAATACAAATAAAAGTAGGAAGTTAAAAGAAACAAACAGGCTAATGATTGAATCAACTCCAATGAAGATGAATTATCTTCATAATCAATCTCAATTGGAAATGTCTAGCCGCTCTCAGAGATTATACTAATGCTTTTGCTATCACTAACTAATCTAGGCCGCTACCCCTAGAGTGCTAAAAACTAAGACTTAAGAAAATCTAAAGGGAATGTAAAATGCAAGTTTGATTATTTGATTTGATGTCTTGAATTATGGTGTTTTGTTCTATTTTTATAGAGGTCTTGGATAGTAGTTATCACATCGTGGGGGTGGTAGTTTCCTTGCATGAATCCTGCACCGATTAAAATTGTCTTGAGAAGGATAAAATTCAAGTTCATCCTTGTTATCATCATCGTTACCCTAATCAATTATGACCCATTAAAATTGTCTTGAGAAGGATAAAATTCAAGTTCATCCTTGTTATCATCATCGTTACCCTGATCATTTATGATCATTTCCAGGAACATAATTTGGAATAGGGTTACAATTTTAAGTGTTATAGTGCTAATTTATATCCCTTTGATTCCAAAAGTTCTTCCAATTTTAACTGCTCATATTTGTCAATATATTACTTTGACCATAAATATCGTTAGTTGCATATTAGTAAAAATAATATAACCTATGACTATTAATAAACAAGATATTGAGATATTAGATTAAGACTCAACATGATTACATTACGTTTTATAAATATCGAGAAAAATTCAATATATTTTATCATTTCATATATAGTGCCACTATTTCAAATGGGAAGAACAAAAAGAATTAGAGGAAGTAGAAAATTTGAACATTTTATTAAAATGTTAAATTTTTAACTATCCTCGCACTTTTATTCTTTTTATCCCCCTCATGTTGCTTGATAATACAATAAATTTTAGTTTATTTTATTTCATAAGAAATAAAATCATTGGTAAGTACTTGTATTTAACTAATACATAATAGATTAATCCATCCCCCTTCTCTAAAATAGATTAATCTATCCCTAAACTAATTAAAATTGGAAAATTTATAACGGTGACCCCAAAATTCTACTATGCACACATGGTGACCATCTTGAACATAGATTATATGAAATGACCTTATTTGAAAATTCTATCTCACTTATAACCTTATTTCATTAAATTTTAAATAAAGCTTAACTATAATAAGATTTTTTGTAAAAAAAAAAAAAAAAAAAAAAAAAAACACATACAAAAATTACATCTACCAACTATCCACCCACACCACCACCTCCACCAGCTAGTCACCGTCTCCCCCTCCCCCTTCACTGCCGGCACCCTGGGTTACCACCCTTGTCGGCGACGCTATCCAAGTCCCACCCCGACAATCGCCCACCAAGAACCCTAAACCCTGTCCACGTGGCCACTCTTCACCCACCGCAACCCCATATCTTTCTCCTCCGCCCAAATCGAACCCAAACCGTCTCGGTTAGGGTTTTGACTAAGGTAGGATGGTTGGGGTTAGGGTTTCGGAACCACCTTACCTCAGTCGAAACCCTAAACAGATGGTGGTTGTGGTTCAGTCGAACCCCTTGTTTAAGATTTCGGTGGGAAGAGGAGAGAGAGGGAGGGTCGTCGGCGGGGTTTGGGGTTCTGGGTGATGGTGGGGCTGGGGTAGCGTCGCCGCCGGGGTAATGGGAAACCATATCCAGTCTTGGGCCGGCCAGATAGGCGGTGGCAGTTAAGGTTAAGGTTAAGGTTTTTTTTTTTTCCTCAAAATATCTAACCATAGTTAATTTTATTTACAATTTAATGAAATAAGGTTATAAGTGAGATAGAATTTTTAAATAGGGTCATTTCTTACAATCTATTTTCAAAAGGGCCACCATGTGTGCGTAGCAGAAGTTAGGGGTCATCATTGAGAATTTCCCATTAAAATTTAGCCGGGAAATGGTCAATAGAGCGCATGTCTTGGCAACTATGGCAAGCGACAACTTGTCTTCTTTTAATACTCCCTCCGTTTTTAAATACTTGCTCCATTTCTCCATGCGCGGAGTTTTAGGAGAAATTGGAGAAAGTAATAAAATATAGAGGTAGTGGTGTTAGTGGTGGAAGAATAAAAAATTGTAAAAAGCAAAAATAGTGGAAAAATTGGAGGATAGAGAATATGAAATTAATAAAATATGATTTATATTGAGTCCACTAGGTGAGAGAAATGAATTAAATATTGTAAAACTTTCAAATAAGGAAATGAAGCAAGTATTAAAAAACGGCCGGAAATAGAAAGTGAAGCAAGTAATTAAAAACGGAGAGAGTAGTTGATTATAAATAGTCTATTGTTTAAGCTAAAAATAAAATAAAAAATAAAATTGACATAAATTTTTTTTTTCAGTAGTACGAATGGATTAATTTGTCCAAATCACAAATGTCTGCTAAATCCAATATTTGTCAAGAATGCAAAACAAGTCCTTCAAAGAAGGGAGGGAAAAGAAAAAGTAAACTCACCACCCCGAAAACATAAAGATGATAAGATTCAAACTCACAACCTCTCAAATTTATAAGTTAAAGATTCCTTACTATTGCAACTTTTTTGGTACCAAAGTAGAATGGCAAGATAATCATTATTCTCTGCAATAGTATAACATACATACAAGTCCAGGCTTTAACATTTACAAACATCTAAGACACAGAGGAGAAATGCCTTCACTAAAATATACATACATGAAGTACGAAACTCAAACCGAAATTGACGATTTCTCATTCTCTTATAAACAGCCTTCGGCCATCTCTGAGATTTAACATTGACAAAAGTATTCCTTTTTCTTTTGTCCTACAATTTCCTGTTTTTTTTTTTTTTTTTTTTTTTTCCTTGATATTTCTTTGTTTTTTCCTTTTGCCTCATACAATTTTCTCTACAATTGGGACTTTCATTTCGAAAGTCTAGCTAGCTGAATTTTCCTACTCAACCCCCGTTCCTAAATGACATTTAGAATGGAAGAAAGCTAAATTCCTACACCTAAAGGCACGACAGATTGCGCCTGCCTTTCTCCTACAATAAACAGCCTATAAAAATTAAAAGGTGAAAGAGAGGGGGGGTTACAGCTTCTGACTATATTTTACAGATGATTCTTTCATGGAACTATCAACATAGTGAATGCCGCTTCTAAAGCGACTAAACCATGACAACTTTATCTCACTAGCGCCAGTACATTGATCTTCAGTTTCTTCCTTGTTGCTGAAAAGTGTTTGATCTGAGCAGTCCAGCGAAGCCCCACATGCTAAGTTATAAGACTGGCATGCTGAATAGCAGACTCTTAGCCTGTTGTCACCATCCATGTCGCATTTTTGAATTGAAATCTAGAATGAGAAAGGCCCCAAATGTGAGTTAAACTGATGCAGATATACTAACAAATACGTAGTATTACACATACACGTGTAAATATCTCAATGTCTGGAAAATAAATGCTATCTACAACAAAAAAAAAAAAAAAATGCATATACTTGCTAAAAATAAAGCTTGATAATGCAAACTGAATAATTGAAGAATCACTTCAGATCAATAAAGGCTACTGACGGATGCCATGTAAACTGAAAGGAAATTGCTTTCCTAAATCTATAGCAGATAGAGTGCCAGTAAACAAAGCTAATCTTATTGCATGTACCATGATTTTTTTTACGTAAATATATTTCTTTACCATGCATTGTAATGATCTAATGGTTAAAATAAAGGCTTAGTAAGGCTTTTCTTTGTACAAAAGAAGAATTTAATTCAAGCCTTCATCGATTTTAAACAAATTCCCAAAATTGTGCAACAAAAGAAAGCTGCAAGTTATACACTACCACCCTCACGGCCTCACCACATGAAAACCATCTACAGAAACCACATGTATCCTACAAAATTCATCAACTGCAAGGTCAAACTAATTAAGCAACATACAACTTAATAACTGCTTGGGTCACCCTAATTAAACTACATACCACTTAATGACTGCCCCCTTATCCGAGCCCATAGGCCCATCTGATATATTTTTTTCAAGTAGACCACCCTTGATCCCCTACCCTGGCCCCTGATGAAACAAAACAACTCAACTCCCTGACTACTCCATGTTAACCCGAAGCCGACAATAAACCTTAGCTCAAAATCCTCCATCACATTGGTTTATGGCCTTAAGGGTCTCAACCTTCCCTTTCATCACGTAGGTTTTTAATGATATAGATTTTTTTTGTCATCACAAAGTCACTAAGGCACATTGTACTATAGTAGAATAAGTCACATAGATGAGTTCACTAGAATGGAGGGATGCAACAACCATTTCTCTTGCTTACTTACATTCTATCCTACAAGGGCAGCACATGTAGAAATTGGTCAAGATAAGGAAAAAAAAAAAAAAAAAACACTAGGGATGAAAAGAGAAGTAAAATAGGGTAGGAAGTAGACTAGTAGAGGTTATAAAATAAAAAGGAAAGCATATGGGAGTCAAACTTCTTATGCTCCACATGTGTCTTTTTTTCATTGCTCAATCAAGCCCTTATAAAGTCATCAACATTATGACAGACAATCATCCTTCTCTCAAATCAAATTATACTCCATAACATCTATGAAAAGTTCATCATCAAAATGACTATTATCTTGAACTAGCTTCCATGCCCTCATAAGCAAACCTCAAACTCCAAGTATATCCTTCACAAAATCTGCCATAGAAAAGGCCATCAAATAATCTTATAACATCTGAACCACATCCACATGCCCCAAATAGGCTAACAGAGATATGAAATCACCCACGGATGAGCCAACTGGCACTGTTGCACAAGAGCATCATCTTATAGATGTATGGGCAGTTGGCTAGCAGTGCTGGTATTCTCTGACAAGGAATGGTATAAATTTCAGTGGATAACTCGTCAATGGCGTATTTGGATACATATATAGCTGACATAAGTATATACAATGATGGGATTTACAAATTTGAAAATTACAAAATACAATGATGGGATCTACAAATAAAGTTAATACTTTCCTTTACATATGCTTTCCAAAAATTTAGCACTATGACATACTAATGGTACTTAAACTGTCATTTCATGCAAAGTAACTCTCATTTATTTATCATAAAATTAGCACTGGCATAATATTGACACACTCACTCAGTTAAACAACTTTGATCTTAACATTTGCAGATGTAGAATTAAAAGATCCTCTAAATATCTCAGCAAATGGAATGAACCAAAAAAAGAATGGGATTTGCATAAGTCATATTAACCAACAAACTTACCCAGCAAGCTAGCCTTTTAGCAGCTTCATCACAATAACTGCTGCCAAAAATGTTGAATAACTTTCGAGCCCCACCTGGAAAGAGACGGTGATAGTTGGGCATGACAACCACCTCTTCAAGCTGCTGCAATATACTTAGTTCACTAGGAGCACAGTGTTTCCCAGAAAAATCATTTTTAAGGACGTTTTGGCAGACTGAGAGACTTGACATCAACAAAGAACTATTTTGGCATGTGTAGCCAGCATAATCAGAGCAACGGAACTCACAAACTCCATTGTCACAGACACCTCCATGAAGGCTGCATTGCTCATCACATACAGCTGCAAATCACATTCATGTAAAATACAAGTTATAAGGAGGCTCTACTTAATTCTACATGATAAATTTTGCACAAATCACAGGCAATGATATCTACTAGTCTTAATAAATTTTTCAAACATATAGATGAAGCCGACACTGAAATCATAATCATGCAAAACTAAGATAGCTATTTCATTCCTTAATAGGCTAATTGCCACACATCAAACACGAAACAACAACTATGCATGATGATATTGAGTGATGACAGTAATATGTTCTTTTTCAGCAAAACCAACTAATCAAAGTTTATGCTGCCGTAAACCCTTGCTCTAAATCACACAACACAAATAGCAGTGATCTTATTATGTTGAGGATCTTCAACATTACCTGTGGAACAGTCAACGCCTGTGTATCCATTATGACACTCACAGACCCCATTATCAAGACAGTTTCCATGGTTGGTACAGTTAGTAGGACAGAAGCCTGCATTACAAAATTAGCACGTACTTTCAGAGGCATGGAAAATAAAATTTCGAACTTTCTTTTGTAATGAAGACTGCAGAGGGCAAGGGGTAACTTACGTTTATTACAGTCATGGCCATGGAACCCCAAAAAACAACGACACCTCCCATTTACACAATCTCCATTCAAATTGCAAGAATTGGGACATTGACCTGAGATCGGAAGTGATGATGTGCTACAAAGTTCATGATAAGCAGGGCAAACCAGCTCACCTAAACAAAGCAACAATAGAATTTTAGGGCTGCAGAAGGAAGAAAAGATAATTATATAGTTACATACTTCACAAGTTAGCTGTGTGATTACCATTGAACCCAGAAAATTGAATGTGGCCACCAGCTGCAGGGCAGGCTTTCCATATGCCATCCACTGCAATCTATGAGCATGAAAAGGAATATTAAATAGCAAATTGCCTTGTCAAACAAAATGGCTCTTACAAGCTAATGCAGACAGCACCCTATAAATTAGCTAAAGGGTCTACATAGGACTTTTTTCCATAAAAATCTTCCCAAAAATTTTAGAAGACTTCTAGTGGTGGACCATTGTCATGTATAGTACGATTAAAAAGCTGAGGCAGGGAAATTTTATTATTTTTATTTAGGAGAGAGAAATTGGGGGAGTGTGATATAGGGTTAATATACAGTATGTCTCTTGTAAGGTGGTCTAACCAGGTAAGTAAGACCATTATGATGTCAGCACGACACCAGCACACTCTTGGTAACTAATAAAGATTTAGCTAATAGAGAAAATAAAATAAAATTGATAACTAATTACCAAGGGGTAACTATAAGTAAAAAGAAGTGTAACTACTAGCAAAAATTGGTTACCTTTTATTATTTTACATGTTACCATTTCAGTGGCGTGATATATAATATTAGAAATTAGTTATCATGTTTTTATATTAGTTTGCTACTCATATACGAGTATTAATTTACATTTTTTTCTAGTTACCATTTTTGCTTCATTAATCATATAAGTAACATTACTATTACCCAGTAGGCAGTATATGGTCTTACCAAATAAAACTGTCTTATAGTATTTTTAAGATTTTTTAATTTTAATTCAAGAGAGAGATAATGGGAGCATATCATGGGGAGGGTTTAAAAGATTTTAGCTGGAGCCAAACCAAAAGAGGAAATGCAAAAGTCTATTTGGGACAAACCAAAAATTTTAAAAACAAAATAAAGTATGTATGGGACAAACCAAAAAAGTAAAGGTAGGAAGACTATAAAGGGATGGAGGAAGTAAGACTTTTGTCACTCAGGAAAAATACATCCTGTCAAATCAACTAGCTTCAAATAATCTACGGCCCCTTCCATCCCTCCTATTGCATCTTCTCTTGCTCTATTAGCCATTCCACCAATCACGTTGAAGCCCCATATCTTTTTAAGTACACAACAAATACAAGTATTAAATATCCCAGCCTTACCTCTAATGTCTTGTTTATACATCGATGCTGATAACAACCATTTCCCTGAGTCATTGAACCACGTACAAACCCAGTTCGAACTAAAGAAGAGGCCATGCACCTACACCATGTTCAAGACAAAATTTAGCAGCTACAAATACTTATATATTTTCTCTTAACATCTAGAAGAAGTTTCATGTCCACCAGAAACGAGAAAGGCTCATTAACAACACCATGACCAAAATACCTGACAAGATTCAGGCTCAAATATAAAGAATAAGTAATACCTGGAGTTGCTTCCACGCACTTCTCCCAGCATTCTGTCAGGTGCTCTTGCACTGTTGGTGTCGGTACAAGATCCATCAGAATAAGCTACAAAGTATGTGCAATAATCTGCTAATGAAGACTGCCCACCTGCAATAGCCAAATCCAGAATCTATGTTACAGACAAAAATTAAACGTCTACAAACAACATAACTTGCGCATAGAACTCCTGGTACAGGTTACTCTTCCTCTTCAACCAGTCCCCCCTCCCCCCTGAAAGAGCTTCAAACTCCAAATATTCCACTCTCCATATCCTGAATTACAGAACTTTAAATAAACAATTTGCTCTTGTAGATAAGTTATTCATTAGTTTGGAATTTCCCCAAATTTGATGTGCTCTTTCATTTGCAAAGGCGTGGAATTGAGACTTTCTTAAGTTGAACCTAAGTGTAACCCTTGACCAATTCTGGTATTTCAAATCCAACCTTACTCTCTATCTAATGGGAGTAATGGCAGAAGTAAGATACCTTTTAAAAAATTACAGTCACTAATAATTCCTCCCACTCCGTTTCAAATGAGAAACAGGTCTTTTTCAGCAGTTCATATGAAATAGCCATAATTATCAGCTACTTCAGTTTACCCCATTTGAAGAATAGGCTCATGGGGATACCATACCAGGAATATCTTTGTTCTGAACACTATATGAGAAATTTTAATCTTTCAATACCCAGATTATAAAAAACAAATTCTAGGTTGACTGAGCTCTATGTTTGTCATGATTGGTTTAAATCGTAGAGCTCCTTATTCTTCTCATATTTAGAATTATATTTTGTTTCCAAGAGCAAGAATACAATATAAAATACAGAAGGTGAATGTTCAGTATCAGAGAAAAGGCAGAAAAAATAAAGTATCCAATGCAATTTGATGCTTTTTATTATTTTACATGCTTCCAGGGTTATTTGATCAGGAGTTAGGGTATATGATTGATTTCTTATACTACAAATAAGCTAATTTATTTCAACATTTGAAGCTATTTTGCATCTAACAAAGAATTCTCTTCCATGGTGATAAATCACACCACAGATTATTACCTTTTCAATCATTTCACTAGCAACATGATTAGGAACTAAGCACAAATGCCACTGGGCAGGAAGGACTGTATGAGGGGAATATTTAAATGTAATAGAAGATCCATGTCATGGAAATACACCTTTATTTGCCTGTGGGAAGTACTGGGCCCACTGAGGGAGATCGCCAATATAATTTACAATGGGGCAGTACCCTTCTGCCTCCCTGTTATATGTACAACCTGACAATTGGGTATTGTTGCAATGATAGGCTCCCTTCCATTGATTGCATGGTGAGGTAACAAATTCAGTGCCTTGATTGCGCCCCCAGTCAAGGCGGTCTGCCATGCTATAGTTGGCCTTGTACCATCCACTATCCTCCAATAAAGCCAGAGTCATTGTTGAAACAACAGACCTTGTATCCACAGATCCTGTCATGATCTCGTTCATCAATAGTCTCTTCTCCCAATGCGAGCCTGAAAGCATATACAATGAACTAGAAGTCACTGAACTGCAAAAATCTTAGATACATTAATGAACTTAGCACAAAAGGAATGTTTGCATTGGAGTACAAACAAAGATTTATAAGATTTATAGCCTTATAGGAAGTACAAACAAAGAAAACAGTTGAGGTTTTACAAAAGGTGAATTACATTAGATTAGATATGGAAAAAGTGCAAAACTATTACATCCATGCAGTATCTCCTGACTTCAAATTTATGTTACTAGCACTGCAGTACAAGGTTGGAAATAAGAATTTGGATGCCTAATTTGTCATAGCCCTGAAAATACGGGCACTGTCCAATTAATGGACACGGGTATAGACATGGTCACATGGCTTTTAAAAAAAAATACTTTCTCCATTTCCTTTTACATGCAAATCACCTCATAGGCATGCAATTTGAGGAAGAGATATGCACAAATTATTTAAAATAATTTAAACCGTAACATAACATAGTACATATTATAATATGTTAAAAGACCCTTTGATGATAAGAACGTTCATAGTTGTTACGGAATTTTACATGTCAAAATCCTGAAATGACCACTTCTACCAAGCATTAATGTTAAAAAATTCACAGTGAACATTCTTGATATTACTGAACCTTTTACCCATGTAATCCCTCCCCCCCCCCCCTTTTCTTGTTATCTACTCTCTCCTCGGCATGCCACGAAATTCAAGATCTGAATTCAGTACCAACTACCAACCTCTCTTATCTCATCATTAACATCCCATCAGCAATTCAATTGTCTGTATCTCTCAATCCAGATCTGCTGCCACTTACAATTCTTAAATTAACTACTGCTAGTCATTTTTCTCACATCATTTACGACATCACCATTGGTGAAGCCATTGTCAACTCCCTCCCTGACTTTCACTATTACAGCCTATAAATCTTCTCATAATATATCTTCCACTGACATAAAATCCTACGCTTCACAATGATCCCACCCCAGCCCTCTTTATGATTAGTACATCAACATCCAAATGTTATCTTCCAATTAAGCTTTGTCATGCATATTAAGAAAACAAGAGCTGGGACAAAATGTGTTAAAAGAGAATAATATATTTGAAAGTGGAAAAATAGGAAATTGTAGAAATTGTGAAATTATAATATAAAAGTAGCAAGAGCAACAAAGCAAGTGTGGAAATTACGAAATTATCAGATTGATGTGATGGAAAAAGGATAAAAATAAGAGAAAGTAGGATTCCACTTCATACAGGGAAGAGGGCAAGTGGACAATAAATTGGAACAAAGGGAGATATTTATATGGGGCTCCAAGTTCAAAAGCAGAGTGGAGAGTTGGCCAAGGATCTTGTATCAGTATACATAACATGCTGTGTTAAAAATGGTTCTTTGTAACTTATTTTCCCATAAAGGTATTATAGCTTAAAATTCAGAAGGCAACACTTGATAAAAATAGAAAGGGTAAAAGACAAAAGAGAATGGAATGACCTGATGTTCCTCGCCCACCACCATCTTCTAGCTCTAAACCAGTAAAGTTTTCAGAAAATGCCTGCCAAAGTAACAGATATGTTATACACTAAGTCATAAGGCTTGCATAGTTACATGCACAAAGAATTGAAAGTTTAATCAAATACCCCATAATGATACCGCGCGTGCATTATAACACGAGGGAGCACCACACGTGTTACCATCCTTCCTAGCCTTTCATCCATGTTATGTTTTGTGACCTGCAAACAAGACGTGAGGCCAAAGTTACAGAAATTTACAGATAGTTATAGATAAAGGTTGTTAATCAATGCTGATTATTTGCTCAGATAAAGAAGATTTTTCCTCAAAATGACGTCTGTACACAACAAAGATCTAAAATCTGAACAGAGAGCCATAGAGACTTTAAATTGAGTAGAGAAACTATGGCACTAACATTAGAAAGGATTAGTGAAAATAAGGCAAGTGCCTAAGGAAGCGACACATTGACCTTCCCAAATTGTCAAACTTTCAAAACTTTACCAAGCTGTGAATAAACTATAATGCAATAGCACTATCAGACAACAGGGCTTCAACTACCTAATAATAAATGCACAACTATAGTTCATTCGTGGAGCAATCATGTTCTTGCAAGAAGCACCCTAATTTTTAAGTCTAAAAGATACTCAGTTCTTATTAATGCTCACATTGCTTTATTCTATTTTAGACATACCTCACTTTACTATCTAACCCCTCTTATCCCATAATAATTACACCTTTCCGCACAATCTCTTTATTCACCTTTCTTTTACACTTCCCCACCTTTTTACACTCTCTCTTACTTTATCCTACTTTATCTAACATCCACTCATCCTGTTTCAAAATAATTTATATAATATATCAATATTATGATTATCAACCAAGTAGAACACAAAAGAATGAAAAGAAATTAAATTAAATTATAGAGTATTGACATCACATTTTACTTTCTCTGTTTTTTTATTTTATTTTTTTAGTTGCATCACTTTTGTAATTGCAGACTCCTAGGCAATTTTTGGAGAAGAGAGAGATAGAGAGAAAAAAAATAAAGGGAGCACATGTGATAGGAGAGAGATAGAGAGAATTTATCAACTAAAAATGAAAGTGATGCATCTAAATCATAACTTCCATTTTTAGAAAGTTATGCATCTAATAAAAAACGGAGGAAGTATTTTATTTCATTAGAAATTCCACAGTAGACTACTGGTAACATAAATTGGCCGACCATTGGAAGCATTCTCTCATATTCAGTGAATTCCCCTCTCCAATTTATAGTAAAAGAGGTTCAAACTATGAACACAGGAGACCAAGCATTGAATTAGAAGGAACACAACACTTTTGCAAAGAATTTCATTAGATCAATTAGGCCAGATCTAAGACAAGTAATCAATCTTAAGCACAAGTACCATATTGGATGTTGGATTTGTTGTGTCATTGGAAACTAAATGGAGGTTCGGGATGTAAGAGATTTGTGTTCCCCTCATCAATGTAAATCTTTTGACAACTATTCAGCATGAGAAAATATGAGGCAGGATGATTAGAGTCTATCTAGAGTGACGCTGGCTTGTCCATGGAATCTAACATCAGCTTTCATAGTGACCGACTGACCTCTGTGTTTAGGTTTAATGATTGTCTGCTTACCAAGTTGACGATACTAGAAACACATTCACGGAGGTCTAGGAAGGTTAAGAAACATGCTGATGATCTGGCTCTAAAATTCTCTGTGGTAGACTCGAGAGTGTGGAATTCATGCACTTCTAATAGGATGTGTACATCTTTTGTCATCAGCAGTGCACAGCACCATATCTTAGTAGCCAACATTACCTGGAAGGTCAAGGTTCTACTCAAGGCAAGAGATTTGTGGTGATATTTTCCTTTTCATATATAAGGTTTCACAAAACACATTTGTTCTGTTGCCAAAAGATCTAGATATATCCTTTTTCCCTTTGAGGATTGGGTTAATTACAACCACCCCAACCATATTTCACTCCACTTTTCATGTAATAAAAGCCAAAGTGCAAGTGTGCAACAAACCATGTTTGATTGTACTTTGCATGCTTTCAATAAAAATAATCAGTAACTAAGTTACATACTTTCCACACATGCTTGTATACTACCAACAATGAGCCAGTGAATCGTGTCCACTGCTTTGTAGCTGGCCTTGAGCTTTTAAAGGTTTTTTGGTACAAACATTTCGAGCATTATATAAAAATTTTCCACCAATTGCCTTCTTTATAAAGAAATCTAACATCCATAATCCAAAATTTTAAACGTACACAAGGTATGCCAAGGGAACCCCCCCCCCCCCACACACACACACAAACTTTTTGTTAGACTGAAAATTACCTGAGCTCGTCTTCTTTTGCGCTCATCACGAAAATGTGCAAAAGCATGTGGATCAAAACCAAGAACATGCATAACCTGAAAAAATTAAACGGTGATAGGTGATAAAGCTTATTAATTTCTATCTCAAACAAAAATCAAAAGAAAATTTAAAATCACTAACCTCATGTATGAGGGTTGCAGAAAGTAGTGTTTCAGCTTCTGCAGTCAAATGGCGGGGAGCAACATTTACGTGGCCTTCAAGAACAAGAAAAAAGTAAATTATCACTTGTCAAGAATATAGCAGAGATACATCAACCCAATTACCCAATCCCTATGCCAGATCATGTATGGTAAATCTACCTGCAATAGCACGGCCCCACTGATCCCGCTCACATGCCACAGCCCATGCTAGTGTGTTTCCAGTTGTTGGCCTTGTGGTTACCAAAAGAACCAAATCTGCATCAGCAATACCCTCTGAAAGGAAAAAGTGAAATAATTTTGTCATGAACCCTAACAGAAGATTGACATAATAGAATCCATTCCTGACACTAAATGCCAAATAAGACAGAACCTTCTACATATTCCCTTGGTAGCTGTACACCTCCATCTTGTCCACATGCAGAGTATCCACTCAGTCGCAATTTTCCTCTAACAGGCTCAACGGCTAGGGCTCTCTGGAACCAGTCAGCTGTCTGCCCCAGAGCCTGCCCATCCATTAACAGACATAGGTATTACTTGACAGGTCCATATGTAAAGATTGTAAACTGAGTAATACTTAAACTGAACATTTTCTTAAATGAACCTAAAATTTGTTAAATTGGGGAACTTGCAAGAACAATGAACAATTTTTTTGTTTCTAAACATTTTTCCAGCCGTAGGAGGTTGTGATTGATACAAAGGGGGTCAAACAATTATATAAAACCCAGGAAACTGGAATTATTGACCCCAAGCTCAAGCCCGGTAAGTACTTGGACTACATCATGTATCCCAATTTTCCAAATTCCCTATTGCTTCACTTGAGCATCACCCAAGTTTTAACAGACAGGCTGCCCCTATCTTTAAATCACTACAGCTAATAAAACATACATGATCAACAAAAAGATAAATCACATTGCAGTGTACATATTCACACCACATTCTGTAACATTAGGCTTGTGGCATAAAACAAATCAACACAATCCATGCTTCATATAGAGTAAGAATGGAAAGCAAAATGCAAACCTTATGCAGGCGATGCTTTTTGTCACCTCCAGATATATCTTCCAAAGTACAATTATACCAGCAATCCCCCGAAATTGGTGGATCAACATTAGGATTACAAAAAGGTGTTCCTGGAAAAGATGTCATAAGAGGCTCCCCAACCTGATCAACCAAGATGCAACATACAAGACAAGAGAATCAGCAAAAGCATACCACTACAATGCACATAAATGCAGCTACCATTCCCAATCCTCACCTTTACAGTGTCCCCAACATTTCGGCAATCTCTATCAGGAGAATGACCTACTGCGTCATAATTTAAAAATATTCTAATTGGCCACTTTCCATCTTCAGATTGTGGCATGGATTCCATCATACCTAGCAAAGCACGCCCCTTGCGGCTGAGAGACTCAGTGAAACTAGGCTCCTCATACACTTGAGGGGTAACAGAATAAACCTGGCGACCAGGTCGCCTCCGCTGTGCAATAATTTGATCATGTATACAAGAATGTGAGCTAATACTTTTGACTTCCCTTTCTTGCCCTTGCTGTTGAAGCTGATAATCTATGGACTCTGATGAGATTGAGAAAAACCCCAATACCAAAACAATCTGCCACAGTAAAACATTAGCCAATAAGCAACTTACACGACAACTGTGAATTGACAATTAACTAAGCTGCTTCACTATCCAAAGCAAAAATCAGTGACCTCAAATTCAATTGATTAGAAACTAAACCAAAAAATAGAACTTCCCTTAAAAATAAACACTTTGGTCACCTCAAATGTCACTCAAGAATTGAAAATTAGACACACTATAAGTTTAACTCCCTTCGTCTGCGATTAATTGTCACTTTGATTGTGTAATTTGAGCTAATAATGACACAATTAAATCTCTTAAGTCATACCTAGTAGTACTTTTTTTTCTCTCTGAGTTAAATTTAACATTAGTAATCTGTTTAATACACAAAAAAATTAAGGAAATAATGTAAATAAAGTATTAATTTCATTACTAATTTCCAATCAAGCCAAAAAATTAAACCCCCATTTGGAAAAATGACACAAATTTACCATATATTCACATTAATTTTCCAAAAAGAAAACCCAAAAAAATTGAAATAATTCCAAAAACAAAAACCCAGTATTCCATTAATGTAATCATTCTACAATTACACAAATTAGATTACATAAGATGTAAAAACTTACCTCGAAAAGAATGACAGCAAATCTGAAACAATTAACAAATCGTAACCCAAAACATGGAGTTTTATAAATCATCACCTCCATGAATAATTTCACTAAAAACCCACTTTCCCATCAAAAATCCAGCGCTATTTCGATCGAAACACGGACCCATAAAAATCCCAACATTTCAAAATTAATCCCAAGAACAGGTAGAAAAAAGACTGAAGAACAAATCGTTATAGTTGATTGATTTAAAAATAATTAAATTAAAACTGAAAAAATGAAGGTAAGATATTAATTTTCTGGGGAAAAAGGGAAATGATGAAGTGAATTTGAAGACTGAAAGACTGATTCTTCTTTTTTTTTTCTGGGTTCAGCCGTTCAGGTGAGGTGGGGTTGTACTGCGGACTTGTGGAGCTACCAAACGAGTGAGAGCAAAATTTTAATTTTAAGAAAATAATATATAAATAAAAATAAAACGGATATGTGATACAAAGTGGTTGTTTTTTTTTTCTTTTTTTTTGGAATTGGGAAAGCTTTAATTTTTAATATGGAAGGTTTTGGTTGTTTGATGTTGGATAATGGTGGTAATGGATTGTGGAGAAATGATATAAAGTAGTTTAGTGTAGGTGAGAAAAAGGGAGACTATGAAAGGTTAGGTTATGGTGGGTAGACAATTATTTGTTTGTTATGGAGTATTATATTTCAATAAAGTTAGCAATTGGGTGAAAATCATGGCTTATTGATTATTGGATCCTCCTAAATTCTAATGGTTTACTTTTTTCTTTTTTTTTTTCGTTCTTATAATCGTGAAATATTTGAATTTTTTTTCTCAATAGGTATGGGGAAACTAATACTCTAATTATCAAATTATTAAAAAGGAAGCAAATACTTATGATTATATGAGCAATCAGCCATGGATCTACCCACGATCTTTGCAATGAATTGATAATTTGAAGATTGTTCCTTTTGATGATAACATTTTCTTATGTCACTCTCAATTGCTAGTCAGATCTCTCTATGATGAGTTTTAAATTCATTTATAAAAACTTTTGTGTTACTTAGATTGAAAGTGTGTGCATTGCTATTATTGTCTTAAAGGATGATGCATATTGTCGCTAAGTTGTCATGAACCGAACTTCTTAACTTGAGTTTGAAGAAGTTATAGGATGAGGGACCTACCATGCCACAAAAAAAAAGGGTTAGTGTAGACACCTGATTGTGTCTTCCCAAAAAACCAAACCCAGCGATGAGTACCTTTCATGTCTTTGATTATCGAGTTAGGTGAAGAGTTGAAGAGTCTCGTGAATTTCCCTTTCGTCTTAACCATTTCTAATCTGTCCTTAAATGTTTTAAACCCAAAATCATTCATTTTGTGTCCTTAAAATCATTTATTTCGTGTCCAACTTATAAAAACGTCCAAGCCAGTTTATTTTGGTCCATGATCTCGGTCCAATTATTGCTTAGTTGGATGGGGTTTGAAAAGAGTTTTCCAACGATATATTATAAGCCCAAACCTTATGGACAAAATACTAAACTGAGCCCAAACCGAGCCTTACTTACGACCCAATGATCATGCGAAGGGTCCATTAACCTTAACCTCATTTCTAAACCAATTAGGATTTATTACAAGCTTCTAGAATTCTCTAGAAGGTTGTTTTCGATCCAAAATCCCTTAGGACTTATTATTGGTTTCTAGAATTCTTTAGAAGGTTCTAATTTATCTTGTTTTCGAAAAGATAAAGACTTGAGAATTTTACATCGGATAAAACACTTGTTTTTCAATGATTTTAATCCCGATAAAATTATAGTACGTACGAAATTTGATTAACCCAATTTGATTGGAAGTTGGATTCCATACGAATTCAATTTTCCAAAAACCATCGCTGAGCGACAGAACACCGCGGCAAAGTTGGCGCGCCGCGATGAGCCTATCACGCTGCGGCAAAGCTGGCGCGCCGCGAAGGATCTGGTTTTACTCCGAGTCGGATTCTGACTCTTTTTCTGATTTTTGACCCTCTTTTCCCCTATAAATAGAGGTCGTATCATCCCGCTTTCATTCACCAACAATCATCATCTCTTCCCCTCTTTAAGCTAAAGCTTATTCTTTCTTTTTCTCTCTTTCTCTTGATTTCTTAGCCTACCCTTAATCTAGCCTTAGCCTAAACACATCCCAACACACATCCTTCGATACTTTTCCTAATCAAACACCATACGTCCTTCATGAGCCTCGAATACTCCTAGCCAATCTCGTAGTTGACTTCAACCTCGACGTGAAAGGTTGATAGTTCTGAGGGTTTGATCCCAAATCTATATTTCAATCTATATTTGATTTGTTTGATTTAATCTTTCTTGAAGGTTACTAACGTGTGTACTGTTTTTATCGAAAGAGGTATGAGGCATCAAAGTGAGTAATTCGATTACTTAATTGTTCTTTTGATATAGAAATTATGCTTAGAATTTTATATTAATTCCTAGTATCATGTTAGCATGCTTTTATGATTTCTACTATTGATTGGGGTAAAAATTGCCCCCTGCCACGTGGACCAATGAGGGCCTAACACGTGTCACCCTCATACAGGCCCAAGGGGATCCAATCAGAGGATGCCATGTGGCATTGAACCCCCAATGGAGAGCAGATTCTCATCTGCTATAAATAGAGGAATCATCCTCATTTATTGGTATTCAAAAATTCATACACAAATCCCGAGCAATATTAATTGCGTAATCTCCCTGAATCAGAGAGAAACACCCATTTTACTTTCTGCACGCTTACTCATCCAGAATCATACTAACTTGATCTTCGGAGGCGGAACTTCACCCAACCGGAGTTTCGTGGTTTTGCAGGTATAGAAGGCAGGCGCTCATACCCAATATTGTAACTCTCCCAAGGGACTAAAAACACCCGAAACATTTGGCGCCATTTGTGGGGAGAGTACTACCGAGATGGCTTCACAGCAGTCTGTACCGTCTGCTAATAGGAGGCGGCCTACGGTCAAGTTCAAAAACCGAGTGCCTCCTCCCTATCTTAAGCATCTGAGTCGACCCAGACATCGACCTACCCAGAGTTCTTCAGAATACCTCAATGAGGTATTCGCAATCAAACCAAGGGGGTCAGACAGGCGGCCTGTCCGTCCATTCTGACCCTCAGATAGTCTATCCGGCATGGTATGCGCCTTAGCAGCCATGCATGTCGTATGGACAACATTGTAATCAACCGGCCCCTTTCTAGGGGTCAGGCGACATTAATGTCCATCAGGGCAGACAGCTCCGTCTGCGAAACCTTGCTGAACAACCTTCTGTGTTCACAAGGAAATAACCTTCTGGTACGAAAGTGATAGACGGCCAAATACATGCGTCATCCAGCCAACTGTCAAGCACAGCAGGCACCATGAGGCCAAAGGATTTGTGTAGCAGACGTCATGGGGTTATACTTGCCTCATGATTAGTCAGGCGGCATCATGCCACCAAGCAGTCTCGCGATCAGCCGACATGCTCAGGCATGAAGGCATGCAAGAGGTAGTAAATTCAATCAAGGAAATAAATTTCAACCTTTTTAAGCCTGCTGTATACAGGCGGCCTGTAGGCTGAGTCCTATGGGACCATTCAAAGAGCAGGAGATGTGTAATACACAACCATCCACGAGCTCCACACCATGCAACCGGCATTCTCCCGGGAGCCTGCAATTGCACTCAACAGGGATAGCCCACATAACTCATGCCAAAACTTAAAAGGCAATAACAGCCTCCATTTCCAGGCATACAAGCGGTCACCTGTATAGGCGCATGAGCAGTCAGCCCTTCAATGCTGAACCTTGTACTCAAGACCTAAAGTGCTTACAAGCGTTGAACTACAGGCAACACCTAAATATAGTGCCTCAAGCTATCAGGCGACAGTAGCCGCATGAAGAAGTGTAGCCAAACCACGCTAACTCTAGTCAAGCGCCTGTCTTGGGCGGTTGTGCTTCCTATAAGGAAGGCCGGATGTGACTTAGAGGCAAGGCTCAATGAATAACCCAAACAAAAAAAAAGTTCTAGGAGCAAACAAGTGAGGGTCAAACGATAATAAAGCTTAGCAATGCCCAGGCGGCATTCCCAGCAAAAGCACCCATCCACCGTATGTGGCCCGGTTATGTATAATTTGAAGCAAGCTTGAATTTGGCATCAAGCAGAGGATTGGCATCAAGCCTCCATGGTGATCCAAAAGCTTGCGGGCGGCAACCATGAGGACAGCCAGCCAGCTCCATTTCCGCATACACAAACGGCTACCTTGCGAGAGCAATCATAGGCGCATGTATGCATTGATATGCAGGCTAGTTCACGAGATTGCAGCCTTAAGGGCCAGGCGGCCTTGATTAGAAGAGCTCACATCCGGTACAAATAGTACGCCTGAGTATACAGATCAAGCACAGCAGGCGGCCTGATCATCCTTCATACAGGCGGTCCGTTATGATAATCAAAAGGGTCAGCCGGTGTAAAGGATTATATCGTCTCCCGGCTGCGCATGCATCACGTCAAGAGTGTTCAAGTAATTAGCATAGCAGCCAGCCAATTTTAGCCACCTCCAGCTGTGTTCACACATGTCAAACCATGGCCAGCTTCTCAAACTACCAGCTGCACTAAATGGGGAGGGTGTTCAGCCTAAGCTCCTACAGCCGTCTCTAAGGGTGCGCATGTTATAAGTGGAAGACAGCCGGTTCCCTTCATGTTGACCGGCAAAGTAATGGCACCTATCCTCAAAAAGCAGGCGGCTTTTTATACATATCAGCCGACTAGATTTGCACCGGTTGAGGGTGCGAATGTCAGCGCCATCCAACAAAAACCAAGCGTCCGGTTAAGTGACGAGTATATAAGATAGCCTTGAAGTTCAGCAAGCAGGCAAAACTTGGGGGCCATGAGACACTAACAGCTGGTACATGGTGCATGTCCATTCATCAAAATCTTGCCTCCTAAGAATATTGTGTTTAAACAACACAACCACAGCAACCACCTGTATAAAGGCTAACTAAGGCTGGCTGCGTGTGCATTGAAGGCACAATATACACAAGCAAGACAACCGATAGCCTGTAATAGCATTACATCTGGCCATAATAGACACTGGCTGTGGGTGCACTAGCTGCTAGATGCTATTTGCAATAGGGGCATGCAGCATTGAGAATGATATCAATGATCAACTGCACAACCGACACCCTTGTTGCCCCAATACGTAGATCAGCTGTGTATGCTCGAGCTAGCTGCAACTGTTCTAGGCGGTTGTCTCAAGTTTCATTCGGCATTACCACAAATGAAGAGCAAGCGACAAATGTTCAGCCAAGCACCCATTTGGCACTGAGAGTACGGCTGTGAATGCATTAGCAGCGTGTCAATATTGAGCACTTGAGCCCTTGAGATGAATGGTTTGTCATTCTAAAACCTACAACCGGCATCCTTCTTGAGTAGCATATGTGTTACACCTTGCCGCATGCACATATGGGAATAAAAAGCCGGTTGCTTGTCTTTCTTTCTTGAGGACAGCTGTGTGTATGAGCATAAGTGTGAAAATAATGAGCTTGAGGTTGAGCCAACATGGCAGGCGGTCTTTTAGCCTAGGCTCAAGCCAGGCAGCAGCCGGCCAGCTACCCCTAGCTAAGTGTCAAGCATCCGGTTGAGGGTGCATGATTAGTCAACCATTGATCGAGCAACATAGTAGGCGAATGCTCATTAATGAAAAAGCCTCAAGATATTTGGTGCATCATTATTATGATTACAGCCGGATTATTAAGGCCGGAAGATTATAAAAAAAAACGGAAGATTATAAAAAAAAAGGGCCGGAAGATTATAAAAGAAAAAAAAAAAACTATGCATCCGGCATAGACCGGATGTGTGTGGAGCAGCTACAATTGAAAGCTAGCCAAAGGCATCCAGGCGGCAACTAGCCCAGCAATCAGCCAGGCTCGTGTCAAACCAATATTTCGCCTAAGTGACCCTCAAGCTGGCTGAACAAAT